AAATGGTAGTTGCGTTTTAAAGAGGATAAACGGAGTAAAATCTATTTAATTAGAAGTGGATCATCGACAACTTCACTAGATTTTTGAGGATAAAAGATGTAACAGATAGAACTGGAAATTACAGGGATTTGTTAAAGAGTTTTTTGATAATGACAGCTAGTAAGAATTTAGTTACCTCAGGTTGTCAATAACTTTGAAACTTTGAATTTGCTTGTTTTTTAACATAGACTTCTGTTTGATTTTACGTAAGATTCTCGGGTGCAAATAGTTGTATATTTATTTGAAATTTTCTCTGCTTAACAATTTCAAATGGCTCTGTTATTTCAAAAAATTGTCGGTAACTGTGATTTAGCTGAGACTATTTGCTTGGGGAATGTTTTTCTCGGAGATAAATCAATAAGCCAAATTTTATCAAATTCATTTGAATATAAGAAAAGTGAGGCATATGATGCTTCAAAAAAAAAAAAAAAAATAATAATAATAATAATAATAATAATAATAGCTAAAACGAGAAACACATGGAAGTGTGGACCGCAATAAGCACTTATACGTTAAATTTTGCTTGGCACCGTCCTTTTTTTTTTAAAGTTCTGTCTTTTTTTTAAAAGTTCTGTAGTGTTTGCATTGAGGTTGTATTACTGGTATAGCAAAACATTTTAAAATTTCTGTTGCTTACGGAGGAAATATTTGATAGTTTAAAGCAATGTACACTAAGTTTGCTCAATAATTTTTTGAAATCGCAGAGGAGGAATAATGTCTTTGGTTTAATCAATACAGTAATATAAGTAGCAGTCAAATATGCCACTCTGTTATCATGAGAAATGTTGAAAACCAGTTAAGGGTAGACATAACAAAGAGCTCAGTGAGTTTAGACAACAGAAAATACTTCAATGACTAAGATGACCTGTATAGCTCTACTGTCTTAAACAACGATACTTCAGAAGAGTTGCACGAATGGATTATAGCAGAGATATACTGGGATATATGGATGCTTGCCCTTAAATCTTGTAAAAAAATTTTAATTAACGAAATAAATATTTTATTTAGTTCCGACCAAGCTTCTGGACAGCAAAAAGTTGATGCGACCGCAGAAGGCGTGTTAGAGTAGTTTTTGGTTGTAACACTGAAGAATGAACGGATCTCAAACGTTGTCACCGACTATTCTTGTTCTGTCCCGAGTGATGATAAATTGATACATTTGTTACGAGAGGGCGCCGTACTTTGTTCCTCTACAAATAGTGCTCAGTAATATAGTTAAACGAATAAATTTTTAAAAAACATTTGAAAGGTTTTGTCTGTTAAGTAGAATTTTAGAATCTCTTGATACATTTCTACCACTAATTTTTTTTTTTTTTTT